CTTAAAGAGATGGGAGTACCAGACCATCTCTTTAAGAACTTGCCACAATTTGTTGTGATCCACACAATCAAAGGCTTTAGCATAGCCAATGAAGCAGAAGTAGATGTTTTTCTGGAACTCCCTAGCTTTTTCCATGATCCAGCGTATATTCACAATTTGATCTCTAGTTCCTCTCCCTCTTAGAAACCCTGCCTGTACTTCTGGAAGTTCTCGGTCTACATACTGCTGGAGCCTAGCTTGTAGGATTTTGAGCATAACTTTGCTAGCATGTGAAATGAGTGCAATGGTGCAGTAGTTTGAACATTCTTTGGCATTTCCCTTCTTTGGGATGGGAATGTAAACTGACCTTTTCCAATCCTGTGGCCACTGTTGAGTTTTCCAAATTTGGTGGCATATTGAGTGTAGCACTTTTACTGCATTGTCTTTTGAGATTTTGAATAGCTCAGCTGGAATACTGTCACCTCCACTAGCTTTGTTGTTGCTCAGACTTCCTAAAGCCCATTTGACTTCACATTCCAGGATGTCTGGCTTGATGTCAGTGACCACCCCATCATGCTTATCAGGGACATTATGCTCTTTCTTGCATAGTTCTTCTGTGTAATCTTGCCACCTCTTCTTAATCTCTTCTACCTCTGTTAGGTCCCTGCCATTTTGGTCCTTTATCATGCCCATATTTGCATGAAACTTTCCCTTCATATCTCCAATTTTCTTGAAGAAATTGCTGGTCCTCCCTCTTCTATTGCTTTCTTCTATTTCTTTGCACTGTTCATTTAAGAAGGCATTCTTATCTCTTCCAGCTATTCTCTGGAATTCTGCATTCAATTGGGTGTATCTTTTCCTTTCTCCCCTGCCTTTCGCTTCCCTTGCTATTTGTATACCTTCCTCAGCCATTTTGCTTTCTTGCATTTCTTTTTCTTTGGGATGGTTTTAGTTGCCACCTCCTGTACAATGCTGCAAACCTCCATCCATAGTTCTTCAGGTACTCTGTCTATCAGATCTAATTCCTTAAATCCATTTGTCACCTCTACTGTATATTCATCAGGGATATGATTTATGTCATACCTGAATGGCCTAGTGCTTTTCCCTACTTTCTTCAATTTAAGCCCAAATTTTGCAACAAGAAGCTCATGATCTGAGCCACAGTCAGCTCCTGGTCTAGTTTTTACTGACTGTATTGAGCTCCTCCATCTTTGGCTGCAGAGCACATAGTCAATCTGATTTCTGTGTTGACCCTCTGGTGATGTCCATGTATAGAGTCGTCTCTTGGGTTGTTGGAAAAGAGTGTTTGCTATGACCATCGTATTCTCTTGGCAAAATTCTACCAGGCTGTGCCCTGCTTCATTTTGTACTCCAAGGCCAAACTTGCCTGTTATTCCGGTTATCTTTTGGCTTCCTACTTTAGCATTCCAATCCCCCATGATGATAAGGACATCATTTCTGGGTGTTAATTCTAGAAGTTTTTGCAGGCCTTCATAGAACCAATCAACCTCAGCCTCTTCAGCACCAGTGGTTGGGGCATAGACTCGGACTACTGTGATGTTGAATAGTTTGCCTTGGATTCGAACTGAGATCATTCTGTCATTTTGGAGATTGTATCCCAGTACTGCTTTTCCTACTCTTTTATTGACTATGAAGGCTACTCCATTTCTTCTGAGGGATTCTTGCCCGCAGTAGTATACCTGATGGTCACCTGAATTAAATTCACCCATTCCTGTCCATTTTAGTTCACTGATTCCTAAGATGTCGATGTTCAGTCTTGTCATCTCTTGTTTGACCACATCCAGCTTGCCTTGATTCATGGATCTTGCATTCCAGGTTCCTATGGAGTATAGATCTTTGCAGCATCGGACTCTCCTTTCACCACCAGATACATCTGCAACTCAGTGTCCTTTCGGCTTTGACCCAGTCGCTTCATCCTTTCTGGCACTGCTAGTACTAGCCCTCTGCTCTTCCCCAGTAGCATATTGGGCACCTTCCGACCTGAGGGGCTCATCTTCTGGTGTCATATCTTTTTGCCTTTTGGTACTGTCCATGGGGTTTTCATGGCAAGGATACTGGAGTGGGTTGCCATTTCCTTCTCCAGTGGATCACGTTTTGTCAGAGCTCTCTGCTATGACCTGTCTGTCTTGGGTGACCCTGCACGGCATAGCTTATAGCTTCATTGAGCTACGTAAGCCCCTTTGCCACGACAAGGCAGTGATCCATGAAGGAGAAATTGCAATTATGAATGCATATATAATTGACGTCTTGCAAACGTTTTATGGTGTTAGTATTCTTTATGTTCTGCATTGTGAAATAAAGGTTAACATTGAATATTTTTCCCCTTTCTACTGATCAGTGTAACTGATCCACCTTTCCTTTATTATTATTAATATGTTTAGGTATGTGTGCAGTCTTGTATATTACGGCTTAACTCTGAATGCTGGTGAATTAGGAGGGAATCTGTATCTCAATGTCGCTCTTTCTGGCCTTGTAGAAGTTCCAGCATTTCCACTTTGTATGTTCTTCATTGAGAAATCTTGGTAAGACCAATAACTTGACAGCTCTGTGTGTAATACTGCATTTTAAACAACATAACCATTTAAATCTTTTTCATACACTTCTCATTCGCCCTCTATTTAACATGTAGATAAGATTTCTTAAATGTGCTTTGGAGTCTTACCTTAAATGGGGAATTTTTCAGAGAACTCATTTTTGGTGACTCTTAACACCGCACCAGAAACCTGCTTGGTCTGAGGAGTACAAGAGCAACTGTTTGTATGCACAATGCACCCATACCCATTTTATTTATACAAGATTGCTGGTGTCAGTTCAGATTGTAGAAGGGTAATGTCCTGTTTCACATTGTTCATTTGTTTGGACATGAAGAGAAATGAGACATTTAGCTCTTGTCTTCCTTGTGCTTTGCATGGTTGCATGATCATCGTGGCTTAACAGATAAGATAAGCAAGCCATGGTAGTTTGTTCAAGCCATGTGGTATGGCAATGCTTACCTGGTCTGGCATAGTCTGTTGTCTCATCCAAACCTGGGCAGCCAGGCTTGTTGGAGGGGGAAACGACCCTCAACTAAATAATCTATTGTCTGTTTTAGGATGTTGTTTACCCATGCTGCTGCTAATTTAAGATGTGGTGATCAGGTGAACCAGGCTAAAGAATTTTCCTCACATCATTTGGCTCCCCATTATTTGTGTAGTTGATCCTTAACAGACAAATATAAGAGCATTTCAAATAATAGCATCTATCCTTGTAGAAGTTTCATTCTGAACTTTTGCCACATTTCCTCTTTAGGTCAGGAAGACGTAGAAGTACCACTGCTTTTTTGATATTTGCAGGCCTTTCCTGTATATTTACCATGTGTTTACCAGCAAATAGTGGTGGTGAGTATGTGTTTTTTTCCTTAGCAAACATAGTTTTTGCCATTGTACACAGAAAAAACTGATCTTATTAGAAGAGAAGATAGCAAGTACATGTAGTGCTTTAAAGCCAAACATGAACATTATTTTAGGAATTTCCAAAATGCACTTGAAAATTGCTTTTGAACTCAAATTGACCTGAAAGTCGTTTTTAAAAAAAAAAAATATTGGTATTTCTTCCAAATAGAATTGCACCAAATCAATACTTTCCCTTTATTTCATGATGAAAAAAGTAGAGCTTCTAATTGCAATCTGGCGGCTTCCCACACATACGGTTTGCTTAACCTTTGTACTGACCAGCTCATTGATATTTTGTGCTCTAATCCCTCAATACGCTTCTCTTATTTGTCATTGTTGACCTTCAACTGTTGCAGAACAACTCAGTCACTTCTCTTATTTGACGTTTTTAATGAGTGATTGAATAAGAATGCCAAGCAAGTTCACCGAATTTCTCATAGGCTTCTCTGTGTGCCATTAGTTAAATGTTCTTTCATAAAGTTTTCACGAGGAGACTCTTAGCCCTAAACATGGCTTTGAGGGGAGCTACATGTGTGGCAACTTGAAGCTGCATTGTGCAGAAGGCTCTGCAAGCTGTGTGCTTGGAATAACTCAACACGTATTACTTTCCGCTTGCCATTGAAGGGTACCTTTTGTGCTTCCACACATGAGGGCTAAAACTGTGTAGGGGGGCAGAGATGTGCACACAAGTGCTGCCCCCAACACCCCAGGCATGTCAGTTCCTGAGGGTTACTGATGTGTGTAGGCTTTTAACCACATTCAGCTGAACACAAGGAGAAACCCTTTGCAAACCCTCTTGTTTTTCACAGAAAGTCTTTAGAGGAGCCCACATACTCTGAGATACTGTGAAAAAAATTTTCAGAGTTTATGCTCTCTTGTAGGCAGATCAATCCCAGCGTAGGGCTATATCAATGCATTCACTTTCTCACTGGTAGGTAAGTCCAAGCTAACAGCTGCCCCTGTGTAGTGAATCTTAATCTTAATAGATAGCCCACCTCTGTGGACAGTAGATGTAAGAGAAATCAAGATGTAAATCAATACTGTCTTGATCTTAACGTGATGATTTTGAGAAGGATAAATTATTGTTGTTAGTTGCGAAGTCATGTCCGACCCATCGTGACCCCATGGACAACATTCCTCCAGGCCTTCCTGTCCTCCATCATCCCCCGGAGTCCACTTAAGTTCACACCAACTGCTTCAGTGACTCCATCCAGCCACCTCATTCTCTGCTGGCCCCTTCTTCTTTTGCCATCTATTGTTCCCAGCATTAGACCCTTCTCCAGGGAGTCCTTCCTTCTCATTAGGTGGCCAAAGTATTTGAATTTTATCCTCAGGATCTGGCCTTCTAAAGAGCAGTCAGGGTCGATCTCCTCAGGAGCAAGCGTCTTTTAATTTCTTGGCTGCAGTCCCCATCTGCGGTGATCTTGGAGCCCAGGAAAATAAAATTCATCGCTACCTCCATTTCTTTCCCATCCATTTGCCAGGAAGTGAGAGGACTGGATGCCATGATCTTAGCTTTCTTAATGTTGAGTTTCAAGCCAACTTTTGCACTCTCCTCCCTCACCCGCATCAAGAGGCTCTTTAGATCCTCTTCACTTTCTGCCATGAGAGTGGTATCTGCATATCTGAGGTTGTTGATATTTCTCCCAGCAATCTTAATTCCTACTGGTGATTCATCTAGCCCCGCCTTTCTCGTGATGTGCTCTGCATATAAGTTAAATAGGCAGGGCAACAGTATACAGCCTTGCCAACTCCTTTCTCAATTTTGAACGAATCAGTGGTTCCATGTCCAGTTCTCACTGTTGCTTGCTGACCTGCATATAGGTTTCTCAAGAGACAAATAAGATGGTCTCTTTAAGAACTTTAAGCTTAACCATCTCTTTAAGAACTTGCCACAATTTGTTGTGAACCACACAATCAAAGGCTTTAGCATAGTCAATGAAGCAGAAGTAGATATTTTTCTGGAATTCCCTAGCTTTCACCATGATCCAGCATATGTTGGCAATTTGATCTCTAGTTCCTCTGCCTTTTCGCAATCCTGCCTGTACTTCTGGTAGTTCTCGGTCCACATACTGCTGGAGCCTAGCTTGTAGGATTTTGAGCATAACTTTGCTAGCATGTGAAATGAGTGCAATGGTGCAGTAGTTTGAACATTCTTTGGCATTTCCCTTCTTTGGGATGGGAATGTAAACTGACCTTTTCCAATCCTGTGGCCACTGTTGAGTTTTCCAAATTTGCTGGCATATTGAGTGTAGCACTTTTGCTGCATCGTCTTTTATGATTTTGAATAGCTCAGACGGAATACTATCGCCTCCACTAGCTTTGTTGTTGCTCAGACTTCCTAAGGCCCATTTGACTTCACATTCCAGGATGTCTGGCTCGAGGTCAGTGACCACCCCATCATGGTTATCAGGGATGTTAAGCTCTTTCTTTAGGGATAAATTAAAAGGATGCAATCAGACCTCTTTTTTTTTAGTTTATTGTAGATTGTTCATATGCAGAGTTGATAATTCTGAAAGGGATGACAATTTTAAAAACATCTGTCTTATTTCTGCATCCAGCTCAATATGCATTTGATTGTTCTGCAGTGAACAAACTGAGCAAAACTTGGAATAGTGTTGTGGGATATTTCCAGATAGAGAAAATCCCAAAACATGTACGTAGCTCATCGGTAGTATAACCAATATTCAATTGTTTGGGGAAATTTTATAGTTTGCTTTGAAGTGACTGAGCACCAGATGTCTACTGGTTGTGTCTGGGAGCTGTCTAAGAGGACTTTGTTCACAGAGGAGTGACTAAGTTTCCAGTCCTCCAGATATTGCTGACTGTAACTTCCATCAGCCCCAGCCGACATGCCTGATGGTCAGGGAAGAAGAGAGCTATAATCCGACATCCAAAGAGGTTCCCCACCCTACTCTGCATGCTGGGGGTAAAGCCTGTTGAGCTTAGTGGGGTTTATGCCTGAGTATCCTTGCATAGGACTGTACTGGCATTCTTCATTTGCACATGGTTGTGTTTACTTATTAGTCTTGTATTCTGTTTTAGGATTTTTCTTCAGTCCCCGCATCTTAGCTTTGTATGGGAAGTTGACTGTAAGTGCTGCCTTCAACATCATATATATTTACACATCAGAACTCTACCCAACAGTAGTGAGGTAAATGAAAATTTAAAATAGTCATTTTCATATTTATTTCAAATCTGTATGAGTTTATACTAATAGCAATCATGCACAAAGTCAGCTAAATTAAACCCCATCAGCAGTTGAATCCAGCAGACAAACTACTGGCTTTGATGTTCCAGAGCTGAACGTTTAGGGACTTTAGCAGCCCAGACCTGCTAGGGGTTGAGCAAGAAGTCAGCTGGTGGCCGCTATGCAACTTGATGGGCCAAGAGTTTGGTAAAATCAGTGGAATCATAGACCTCTGATAATCAATATTTAAAGCTGCTTGAGCTGCCGTACAACAAACTGTTTGTTTGTTTATAGTACTGTCTATATAAATCACATTTCACAGGATTGACGTAGCATATGCAAGAAACGAAAACTGACAGGGTCAGTCTAGAAACTATGCAATTGTACATTGAAAGGCATACTCAACAACAATAACTCTTCATAATGAGTATTACTGGGACAAGATTGTCAAGAGGGTGTAAGAGGAAAAAATATTCTTTTCAGTTTGTGATGAAGAAATCCCATTTGAAATAATCATGTGTGCTTGAACACACATTATGAATATGTGTCCCTTTGTAAAATGTTATATCTTTGGTAAAGAGGGCAGGAAAATTCTGAAGTGAAATATGTTGTGCTGTAGCACCACCTCGTGGTAATGTGGAGCTTTGCAAAGACTCCTTTGCTTTCTTTTAGGACCCACAGCAAGTTCACGATTTGGAGTGGACTCTCTAATTACTAGACATCCTCTGTAGATACAACATATACACCATTTCATGACAAACTATTTTATATTATGTAGAAATATCTCTGAAGAAAATCAGAATTGTATATTGGTACCATGCAAAGCACTTCATTCCTTTTGATCTTTAAAATCACCCTGTGGTAGATTAAATACAGGATTATAACCAAGTTCACCTAGTGAGCTTCATGCCTGAGAGGTTGCATATTCCATAACAAAAGTTATTGTGGATTTTTTTGGCAGAACAAGATTGCCCTGAAACTTTGAATATGGTTCAATGACTGTTCTGTATCGGAATCTTCCTTTCTAAGTGCATACTCTGCATTTTAAAAAAGACATAGTCTAGTCTTTTATGTATTGTGTATCTTAAATGAGTAAAGAAGTTTGTGTATCTTTGACTATATTTTTTCCAATCCCAATAAGTCTCTCAGTTGGAGATGTGCCTTTCTTTTATTCCAAGTTTACAAGTAGAACCTGTAGCATGGAACATTCCTGTTCAAGGTTCAAGCCAGTAAGCTGTGTCTCTCTAACTTGGTGCTCCATCCCATACAGCTCCATTGTCTGCCCCTTGCAACAGTTAGGTGTTTTGTGCTGGATAAGCATGCTCAGTCCTGAGGAAGGGTTTTCTCTAAATATGCTTTATACTTGTATAAATCCAAGCTTGATGCTACTCTTTGTTCTGTGTGGACAGTGTATTTTGGCTACTTAAGGACTGGCACTTGGAGAACTAAGCTCGTTATTACTATAGTCAAGAAGTCAATTTTCTTCTAAGGCTCAGCTGCTTGGCAGGGATTTCTGTTTCCTGAGATGGCCCCGCATACACTTGTGAAAACCACCTGCATGTGTTGTTGTTTTTTTTTAATTTCCAGTCTCATTATGGCCAGAGTGGAACTCTTGCTGTACTAAACTGCATGATGTTAGTTGGGCTGTGATGAGAGCTGTACAGTTCTTGCTCCCGTCCTGAAAGCCAAAGAAAATAAATCATTATTGATTGAATGAGGAGACTTATTTCTGAGAAAGCAAAGTAGCCAAACTGGGATTGGCTAAGAAGGCTCACTTCACATGGCTCAAAGGCCTGATGGAGGTATAAACCAGAAGGCTGCTGTTGTCATTTGGCCTGCACTCTAGTCATCTTCATTTGGCTCTTAGCCCTGCCTGTGCCAGCTGGCTTTCAGGCCTGTGACCTTTTAGATCCGGCATTAAGCCCTGTCCTGTCAAAAGACCCTTACTTACGTAAAGTATAGGATACATTACGTATTGATCTGAAATTTTTGCCTGTAGTACTATTTCAAAGGGGGCCTCTGGTATCTTTGGATGTTCTCTGTTTTTTAATACTTATACAAAATTTTACCCATTTCCCCTTCCTTTTTGTAAAGCTTCACATCTATTTCATGTGAAATAACTATTTGTATGCACTTTATTCTGTGTAAACCTCAGTACTAAATTGTGCTGCCTTGCTGTATAGATTTTTTGCCTTGGGGCTTGAGAGAGGGTCTGCTAGCTTTTGAACCCTTTCAGGTGTATTCTGAAAGGTCTGAGAGTCTGCTGGTTCACAGGATGGTAAAGAGTGGTGGCAGTTGACTGGATGACTAGGTGTTGCTTTCTGCCGTGTTGGGATTTTGGATTTTTTTCCCCTCAGAAGTATAGCACAGGTTTGGCACTAATGGGAATTTGGCTGAAAACCTCCTTATTGGTGAGAGGGAGTGGTGAAGACTGAGGCTGCAGTGAAATCCAGAGCAGGGATAAGATGGTCTGGTAGGCACAGAACAAAGACTAAAGTCTGTTAAGAGCTAATTAGCATACTCGTTTTTTAAAGGGAAAACTGCCCCTAATGAAACTGTGTGTTAATTCTTTAACAGAAAATTAAAAGGTGTCAGTCTTGATCTTTTTCCTTTTAGAAAAATAGGATGATCATTATTTCTATACAGCCTTTCTGAAAAAAAATTCAGTGAAGGCAGTTAACAAAAAAACCCTCTAAATGCTTTCAACAGATGTTTAAAACCTGCTTCTTTTTACAACAGAAATGCTGGCTTAGGTGTATGTTCGATGACATGTAGATTTGGTGGCATTTTGGCTCCATTTATTCCTTCTTTGGTAAGTAGTAGCTCCTCCCCCCTGCCTTTTTCAGTGTGTTATAGCATATTTTTTACATTTCATATGTTATGAATTGATCTTAAGAATGGATGGTATAGTAACACAAATATATCATTTTATCTATTTTTGTTGTGATTTGATTGTGCTCAGAGTCTTGCTTAACATCAGGCAGATTGCCTTTTATGGATATGAGATTTTAGTGCAATGCAATTTTTTGACAGAGGTAAAAAAGTAAGTTTGAACAGAGAGGGAGAGTAGAAGGTGGAATCCTTAATTACCTGGAAATTGGGGTCAGAATCCAATGGGATGCTGTTGCCCCCACCAATTCCCCATGTACAGGTGGCAACCACTGCTTGCAGAAGGAAGAATTAGTGCTTCCAAGGCAACTGGAAATGAGCTCATGTAAGAGAGTTCATCCTGTTCCTGTTGAGAAACTAATGGCACAAAAGAATTGGTAGAGGTATAACCTCCCCATTGGATTTCATCCTGTGTGGGGCTCTTGGGACACTGAAGAGCCTCAAGGCAAGGTTATAAATAAACCTAAGAGTATGTTTGTCCCCACCCCTCAAGTTGCTCCAGGGCCTTCACTTAAGAAAGTGCCAGCACAAGTAATCTAATCAGAAGCAGTATCAATACTGTGAGAAATCAGGGGAGCAATCATGCACACCATAGTGGAAATACAGAGATTGGTTTTCCTTTTACACTGCTGCCCTTCCCCTCCTGAGGGCTGGCTTGGTACTTGACCTTTGCAGAGGAGTAGCTGAAGGGTGGGGGGACAGCATGCGCTTAGACAGTGAGCGCAGAGAGAGCCTCTAGCAGCATCACTCTACACTGGGAAAGGTTAAACGCCCCCTGTTCATTTGTTTATGAAAGCAGCTAAAAATAAAATACCAATTAAAAGCAAGATTTGAGACTATTTCTTTTATAATGCTTGTGTGTGTGCCAATTCATAATGTATTTATTCTTGGTTTATTCTAGAAATCTCTGGGTCCATCTGTACCATTTGTGGTATTTGGAATAAGTGGATTATCAGCTGGTTTCTTGACCCTTCTTCTTCCAGAAACCTTAAACAAACCTATTGCAGAGACAATGGAAGACTTGCAGATGGCTGCCTATCAGACGCTTAAAAACAAAAAGGCAGAGTAAAAATGATTTTATTTTTAATTTTTGGAAGCCATGTCCATAGCTGCTGGAGCATAAGAACAATTTCTTATTTGCCTTAAATGTATTTTTTCTTCCCCCTAGTTCTCAGATGTACATACTTAATATTTTTATCCATTCCCAAAGGAAACACTACTCAAAATGTTGACTGCTTATCTGTTTTTTATTATTGTAAAGGAAATTATTTGCTTGGCAGAGTTCCTGTCCCATCTCATTCATTCTCCAACTTGCTTGCTAATATTTAGTCATGCGTTTACCAACACTGTCTGATATATCAGAGGGAGCTCTCAGTTTCACATTTCTCGTCCATCTTCTTAGAAGCCATCTGGAATATTTTTCTGCTACAGATATATGACAAAAACATATTGAATTTGTGAGTTGTGCTAGTTTTGTGAAGTGTCTTGTGTGTTTTAGGTTTTGTGTTAGTTTTATCTGTTTTACTATGGTTTCAGCAAGTTCACTGTGGTCAGACTCAAAAAACATTTTAATTTTGATTCTGTTGCAATGGCATTTGGGAACTTCAGATGTTTAATGTCAATTTTTGCAGTCTTCCCTAGGAACATCTCAAAGTATTTAGTCAAATATCAGATAAAAAGAATGTTAATACTTTCTCCTAAAGAATCTGAAGGGTGGACATTTTTATGATGACCTTTTAAAATAATGTGGTTGATGTAAAATATATGTGTCACTAAAGATTAAAAGCATGGAAATAGAAATATAACACCATATCAGAAATACCTAGATAACCTGCTCTGGCAAAATGTCAAGTAGTGTTTAGAACGATGTAACTGCTTATGTAATAAAATACTTAAAATAGCTAGATTCTGTTGAAATGGAGTGTTTTGCTTCCTTTTTTTAAGCTATTGGTTAAAAAGGGTTCTCACACTTTTTATATCCCTATAGAAACTGATTGTCAAGTGAATGTTATTTCTAAATTGTCAATGAGCATCAACTGCTTGCTGCTTTAGAACTGCTGAACTGAAAGGGCATGTACACTGCCTGTGCATTCAGCAGCCCACAGACTAAGGGCTCCAGGGTTTCGCATGTGCGTCATATGCTTGTGTGGATGTATACATAAAGGCAGGGCAACCCACCTACCAAGATCAGGTGCTGTTGCTGAGATTACATAAATTCAGATATTGGTTCCTGGAGATTAGATCCAGTATTAGTTCTACTCAACTAAGTACAGTACATTTCAGTGGGTCTACCCAAAGTAGGACATTGGATACAACCCTAAATTAGATTGCTTCTGTCTTCCTTCACTATTCCTCTTTCATGTTTGTTTCACATCTGTTAAATTGTAAGCCTCTTAGCAAAAACTGTCTTGTCATTCAGTCTCTACAGTGTGTAATATCTATACTGCTTAGACAATTTTAGGCACTTTATACGTGATGGATGATAATGGCAATAAGAAGTAAGTAATGTTCTAATTCATTTTTCTATCTGTTCAACAGGTGAATCAGCTAGAAGAAAACAGTTAACATTGCAAAAACTGTATCTCAGTTGAAAATGACAACAGGACTTCCGTTGTTGAGATGTGGCTATGGAACAGTCAACTATTTGGGATATCCAGTATGCTTAATGATTTATGTGAACATAAATTCTGAATTTGGGGGTGGAGGACCTGTAAAAGTTCATAAGGACAAATACATACCTTAAACTCTGCCATACTCTGAATGTTTTAGTTTGTTGAGAATTACCTGGTTATCTTGATTTTTTGGTAATTAATTGTCCTATATTGCTTAGTTCAGGGCTGGCCTGCCAGATGTTTTGGCCTACAACTCCCAACAGCTATTTCATGGGGGATGATGAGAGCTGTAAGCAAAAACAGCTGGAGAGCCGCAAGCTGCCCATCCTGGCTTAGAAGATAAATTTTACCATAGGAATTTTGAGCATGATCCTAAACTGGGGGGCATGAAGAAAGTACCACGGTTAATTGGTGCATCTGTGTTTAGGTTCGTATAAATGGGTTCAGGATATCACTTGGAACTAATAGCACACTTGCTTCTTAAAAGTACCTTCAGATGGAAGACTATGAACCAGCCTGGAATATTGAGGCACGTGTGAGTTCTTAGTTTTTATGAACTCTACACAATGCTAATATATTTATTATAATGATTTATGATTCATATTCCAGAATATTTATAATGACCAAAGATGCCTTTTCATACTGTTTCTAACTGCTGCTGTCATTTTGTTCTCTGAAGTATGAATGTCCAGCTTTTATTGGAAACAGGAATCACTGCCTTTCCGTAATGGCAAAAGTTGGTGTTGTGTTGGGTTCTGAGTTGGATCCAAAGGTGCCTTTCTACATGCAGAGCTTCGCTATCACTTATGGAGGGACTCTGGTACAACCTGAAGCTCTGCATGCATTGTCATAGTGAAAGTCAATCCCCCCAAACATTCTGTTTGTCCAAGAGCTTTTGCTGCCTCTCGTATGAACAGAAATGTGAAAAATGTTATAGAACCTACCAGCCATAGCACTGCATGAGCCTTCTGTTGTTATTTTTTTTTAACCAATAGCTGTGAAGAAACAGTAAGCAGGTGTTAGCAGAATTGCACTAGTGCTTGTTATCCCTCTGGTCGCTGTTCTTCGGATCCATCTCTGAAAGATGAGAATATTTTGCACATAACATCTCTGTGTTAAAGGTGTTTCTTTTCCTTTGGCCTTTACAGCCCTGAGGGTTGGAATGGTATTTTGACAGTCTCTTGTTACCAGGGCCAACAACCCAGAGTTTATAGCATTCTGGGGGACCTGTCAGCCTGTTGAATCATGTTGATGCCTGGTGAATACTCAAATGACAGAGATCAACATTTACAGATTGTGATTTCAAGGTCAATGTTTAAAAGAAGCTAGAAGCATGGCAAAGCAAGAAGCCATCACCCCTGAGATAACGGACTCTCACTTAAATATGTGTTATTTATTTTAACAACCTGTTTCAGTACTGGTTAGGAAATTGGACAGTCTACCCAGTTTTCTTTTGTCATTTTCATGCATTTGGTTTTGTGTAAATTCCTGGAAGCTGGAATCCAACAAATTCTGGAGGACAGGAGGTTCCCTAGCCATATTATAGATGTAACACTTGAGATGTCGCTAGATTCTCACATTAGTTTCCTTTATTATGTCCAAACAGAAAAAAAAAGTTGAAGACCAACTTTTATGTGGAGTTTTGCTTATTATTATGGAAAGCTTTATAAATTTATATTTTTGTAATAAAAATGCAACATAAAATGAATATAAAAATATTGCTCCTTTGGAAGCAGGAGCAGGTTGCTAAGATGATGCTGTCAGTACATATTGCCACATGGTGAAATGGTTCTCATGTTAGATATATAATGCATCTCTAATGAGGCTGTTTTGCCCCTCTTCTGCTACAATGAAGTAGAAAATGAGAAATAAAAATGATACTTTAAATGCAATGATTTGTATTATTGCTAAAATGACACTCTTATGCTTAAATTAAAATGTTATAAATGTGCCTAAAATCATTTTGTTAGGCTAACCTTCTGTCTGTGTGTTTGCGTGTTCAGCAAATACACATCAGTCCTTTGGCAATGAAGATGCAAGTGCATGCTAGATACAACATAAAGTAGTCTCTGCAGAAACAGAAGTAGCCTGTGGGCAGCAGGAAAGAATCCGCAAGCTGAGTTGCCTTGCACATTGGAAGCTGCGGCTGACCATTTCTAGAAAAAAAACCTACAAAACTGAGTGCCCCTAATGAGTCTGAGTTTTGAGTTCTCCCTGTTTATCACCCTACCTTCTGTAATGTGAAATCTTGGTGTTTAAAGTCGTCTTGCTTTGTTATGTGAGGCAGCCAACCTTCATTTTTTTCTTCTGAGTAAACAGGTATAGACAGACCATGAGACAAAAGGCAGACTGAAAGACAGACAAATGGGTTCTAGATAGATCACATCAAGCCAGAACTATCCCTGGAAGCAGAAATAACAAAACAGGCTGTGTGTATTTCGGGCACATCATGAGAAGACACGACTCACTGGAGAGGACAATAATGCTAGGCAAAGTTGAAGGCAGAAGACTAGCAATGAGATGGGTGGATTTCATAAAGGATGCCACAGGCCAGAAGCTTAAAAAGTTGAGCTGGGTTGTCCAGAACAAGACATTTTGGAGGGCTTTCAATCACAGGGCTACTATAAGTTGGAGATGACACACAACAACAGCAAACAGGCACAGGGTTCTACTTAAAATCATTCTTGAAATTGCTTCAGGAACAAAAGCCAAACATCTGTAACTTGCTAAGTTCGTCGTGGCCTCTGTGCATCACACATATGGGTGCTGCGCCTGCGCAGTGCCGAGGCCGGAAGGTTAAAAAGCTAACGGTTTTTGGCGGGAAAACACTCCCCTCCCCCTTCATGGTATAAATAGAGTGGAGTGTCCGCTATTTTGTTCAGTTTTTGCGACCGCCGTTCACTGTGCCTCGTGTCTGTTAACGTCCTCGCTAAGATCTTGAGTCCTTACTGTTCCTTTTGCCTTTATCCCTCTCTTTTTCTTCTTCTCAAAAACAAACAAAAAAACCAAAAATATTATCTTACCCTCTATCCTGTCATCTTCTTTTTCTGCGATGGCGCAGCAAGCAGCCTTTCACAAATGCACCGCATGCGGATCCAAAATGTCACCTGCGGATCCTCATGATCTATGCCTCCTCTGCCTGCGGCCATTGCTTGGCCTTTACCAAGCAAGCGCGGAGAAACAGGGAGAACCGTCTCTGCAAGCTCCTCTGGGACCAGGCCTTGATGCAATCAGACCAACTGCTCTTACGGCCTGGTTCCTCTTCAGCCGCACCGCCTCCCCCACGCTCCACCCCAACTGTGAGTGCTCCTCTGAAGCATCCCGCTTCCACCACTCCTCCTCAGTGTCCTTCGGCTGAAGGCACTACTCCAGCAGAGACCCAGGTGCCGCCGCCTTCCCCAGCCAAAAAACGGGAGAAGCGCAAGCACACGGGTTCAGAGAAGCCTTCCGCTCGTAAAGTTCCGAGGAAGGAGAAGGCAGATAAACCCTCTCACAAGACCAAGAAACCTGATCGCCCCAAACACTGGGGCTCGGGTTTGTCTGTATTTTCGGTACCATCCGCCGCCATGGTACCGACTCCTTCGGGACTGGCCCTGCAACTTACTATGCAGGTAACACCGCCGGGATCCCCCAGGCCTCTCATTTGGCCTGAGAGCGTGCCGACCCAACAAGTGGAGGAGCCGCTTCGGGAGTCTATCTCTGATGGCTAGATTAGAGACTCCCCACCGAGGGAACTGTTTCCGACTCCAATGCCCACGACTGAGCCACCTGTGGAGTCACCTTTGCCTCCAAGGCGCCGCAGCCGCTCGTCCGAACACCGGGGTGACGACTGGAGGATGCATGGATATGGTGCCTTCCCAGACTGGGGTGGCTATCAATCTTATTCGAACTACCCTCGGGATCGTGCATCTCCATCGGCCCTGAGAGATTCGCCTTTGACGGCCAGGCATGTGGAGAGGAGATGTCCAACCTCCCCAGAAACGTCGTCTTCAAGCGACCGTCCACTTTATTATCCGGATTTGGACGAATCCGAGGTTGACTCAACATCCCCCAATGTAGCAGTTGCCTCCCAAGGACCGGCGTTGCCCGATGAGCCACATGTCTCCTTTACGGAGCTCATGTTTCACCTCGTCCGTTCACTAGAGATTGAGGCTAGTCAACAGCCGGGCCCATCCACGGATCGCTTCTTTGATGTTGTGAGGGGAGAACAGTCCGCGGCCGTAGCCCTGCCGCTTATTACCAAACTTCGGCAGGCTATGGTCCAACCCTGGGATCAACCAGCCCAACCGCAAGTGACCTCCCGTCGGTATGAGGCCATGTACAGAGTTCTGGAGGACGACATTCCGTTCCTGATTCATCATCCGCGCCGAACTCTGTTGTCGTTGAATCCTCCCAGGGCAGGGAGTCCAGGGGACACATAGCCCCTTGCGACAAGGAAGGGAGGAAGATCGATATGCTCGCCCGCCGAGTCTGTGTGGCCTCTGGACTCGGCGTGCACATATCGAACTATGAAGCAACACTGGCACGTTACCAGTATTTTATTATGCAAAAACTGGATAACGTTGCTTCCTCCCTTCCAGACTGCCAAGCCAAGCTTGCCAGGGTATTCATCAAGGAAGGTATGCAGGTAGCAGTGCAGCAATTATCTACCGCACGACATCACGTAGATACCAGTTTGAGAGCTCTCGTGAATGCCATCTCGCTGTGCCAACATGCATGGCTTCGTAATTGCAATTTCCCCGACGAGATGAAATGGAGGATCGAGGAAATGCCATTCGACGGTACCGGGTTATTCCATCAGAAAACCGACTGCAAGTTAAAAGCGATACATGAATCGCGTATGACCGCGCGCCACATGGAGCTTCTTCAAGAGGCGTAAGTGGCAAGGACCTCGTTCCTCTTACCGTCCACAATTCCACCCTCGGCAACACTACCAACAAAGACAGCAACAGCAAAGACAGCCACAGCAACATTTCCCCTAGGGCCGGCGGCACTTCGACGCTGACAAACATCCACGTTGACGGTCCGGACGAACCATTCTCTCCCCACACCACCTTTCCCTCTTCCTTTTGGGGACCGGCTCCAGGGCCGACTCCCCATTTGGGAGTCCATTACATCTGATAGGTGGGTGTTGTCTATCATTCAGTTCAGATATAGGATAGAATTTGATGTCGTCCCTCCACCGTGTCCGATTTGATTTACATCTTCTTCATTGGTACTGTGCGAAGAAGTCTCTCAGTTGCTTTGCAAGGGCGCGATTCGACAACTGTCCTGCTCGGAGAGATTGGACGGATTCTACTCCAGATACTTCATGGTCCCGAAAAGAGACGGTGGTCTTCGTCCGATTTTGGACTTACAGAATCTTAACAAATACATCAAAACAAAAAAGTTTCGGATGACCACTTTACAGAGTATTTTTCTGTTACTGAAGAGAGAGGATTGGTTTGCCTCCTTAGATTTGAAGGATGCTTATTTTCATATTGCTGTCCATCCTTCACATAGACGTTTCCTGCGTTTCACTGTTGGGCTCGACTTGTTCGAATATGCTGTGCTACCCTTTGGCCTGGTCACCACACCTTGAGTTTTTACGAAGTGTATGGCACCAGTATGTGCGCACTTATGGACAAGAGGAGTGCAAATATACCCATATTAAGACGACTGGCTAATTGTCTCCCAAACTAAACAAGGGCTTCTGTCTGCAATACACATGACCTGTGCCTTGCTCGGTGATCTTGGACTATGTATTAACCACGAAAAATTGTCCCTTATTCCCACGGAGGTCATTGACTTTATCGGGGCACGTCTCAACTCCACACGGGAAAGAGCTTTCCTCCCTCCGGACCGTCATGCTACCTTATGTGCCCACATCCATCGAATCCGAACGCTAGGAATGGTTCCGGCTATATCCATTCAGAGACTATTGGGGCACATGGCTGCTACAGTTGCTATTGTCCTGTATGCCAGACTATGGATGCGGACCATGCAGCTGTTTTTCAACACGTCGTTTTGCCCACAGCGAGATTCTCCCAACAAACTGATCCGAATTCCGTCTGATACTCAACACTCTAATTTGGTGGACCATTATGAGCAACCTGTCTGTCGGTGTCCCATTCCGAACACCTCATCCAACGAAGACCCTGTATACAGACACGTCGCTACTGGGATGGAGCGCAACATGTGCGGACCTTCGGGTTCAGGGAACTTGGAACCGATGGGAAGCAAGGAAGCACATCAACATCCTTGAACTACAGGCGATTTTCAATGCCCTAAGGGCTTTCGAGACTGTCCTATGCCAACAACTTGTACAGATTGCATCGGACAACATACCGGCTGTCTTCTACATCAACAAACAGGGTGGCACAAAATCGCCACCTTTAGCACATCTCTCGATGGCCATTTGGGACTGGTGCATACCGAGGGACATTATGCTTCTAGCAGTCCACCTCGCAGGGACCGACAACACCGAAGCAGACATGTTGAGCAGACATAGGTCAACAACGCACGAATGGGAGATGGACAGACAAATATGCCACGACCTCTTCCATCTGTGGGGCTATCCGGACTTGGACTTGTTTGCCACTTGCGACAACAGAGTGTGTGCCCTATACTGTTCCAGGGCAGGCATAGGATCGGGATCGATGGGAGATGCCCTTATGATCCCCTGGGACAACATAGCCTTTTATGCGTTTCCCCCAGTTCCACTTCTAACGAAAGTGATAGCGAAGATATCTCAAGAGAATGCCACAGGAATAATAATAACTCCATGGTGGCCGAGACAACTGTGGTTCGCCACCCTTCTTCGTCTATCCAAAGGGACGTTTCTTCGCCTCCCGTCTATTCCTCAGCTATTAACGCAGCAAAATGGAGCAATCTGACATCCGGATCTGATTGC